GAACTCAAAACATCGAGGACACGAGAGCCGACAACAGCCGTGAGAGCCCCAAACCACTCCTCATAATAATCCCTCCAACAAACCCCCAAAACAACAACACATCGGTCATTTTCAACCCCCGACTGTTTGTTTATTCACTTTACAGTGTGTTCCGTGAAGCGCTTCGGGACGTCCTCCCGACGTGAAAAGCGCTGTATCAAATGCGAGGATTATTATTATTATTATTATTATTATTATTATAGATAATCCGCCATCGCAGGAATAGCAACGAACAGAAACAACGCGTTACGGTCGTGTAACGGCCGTCACGTCAGAGCGAGAAAGTTGCTCTGCGTTCGGGTGGGAACCCGCAAAGTGTTTGTCGGTGGTGGAATAAGATCGGAGACCGACGGACGGGTAACACTGTCGCTTTAGTTGTAGTGTTTTCTTTGCATCGTTTACAGACACGAGGACGAGAGGACGTGTTGCGTTCGGTCCGCGGGTCACCGGTCACTTCTCGCGGCCTTTGCCACTGGGCTGTTGCGGGAGTTTGAGTCCCACCATCTGCGCCACCTGCTCCGCTGACCGCTCGCCCGTCCCGTGGTACACCCGGTGCAGCTCCAGGTGCCGCCGGACGCTCTGCAGGAGACACCGGTAGGTGGTGGCCCTGTGCAGCAGCTCCTGGTGAGCGCGGCACAGCTTCTCACTGGTCACCTACAGCACAGACACAACCAGACGCGGAGACGGTTAGTGACCGACCGACCGACCGACCGACCCAGAGAATGGGGGGCAGAGCAGTGGGGGGGAGGGGGGCAGTGGGGGTGGAGGGGGCAGTGGGGGGCAGTGGGGGGGAGGGGGGCAGTGGGGGGCAGTGGGGGGGAGGGGGCAGTGGGGGCAGTGGGGGCAGTGGGGGGGGGGTGGGGGAGGGGGCAGTGGGGGGGCAGTGGGGGGGGGGGCAGTGGGGGGGAGGGGGCAGTGGGGGGCAGTGGGGGCAGTAGGGGGCAGTGGGGGCAGTGGGGGGGGGTGAGGGGGCAGTGGGGGCAGTGGGGGGCAGTGGGGGGGAGGGGGCAGTGGGGGCAGTGGGGGGGGAGGGGGGCAGTGGGGGGCAGTGGGGGGGCAGTGGGGGGGGGGAGGGGCAGTGGGGGGGGGAGGGGGCAGTGGGGGGCAGTGGGGGGGCAGTGGGGGGAGGGGCAGTGGGGGTGGAGGGGGCAGTGGGGTGGAGGGGCAGTGGGAGGGCAGTGGGGGCAGTGGGGGGCAGTGGGGGGAGGGGGTGGGGGGCAGTGGGGGCAGTGGGGGGGCAGTGGGGGGCAGTGGGGGGCAGTGGGGGGGGGAGGGGCAGTGGGGGACGTGGGGGGTGAGGGGGCAGTGGGGGGGAGGGGCAGTGGGGGGCAGTGGGGGGGGAGGGGGCAGTGGGGGGGGGGGAGGGGCAGTGGGGGGGCAGTGGGGGGGCAGTGGGGGGGGAGGGGGCAGTGGGGGGCAGTGGGGGGTGAGGGGGGGCAGTGGGGGGCAGTGGGGGGGGGAGGGGGTGGAGGGGCTCTGAGACGCTTCTCCTCTCACTTGGTTTTTCCTGAACTGCTCCATCACGTACTTGTAGGAGAGAGAGTCCCGGTATCCGCCGCTCAGACCCCCCCCGCGGCCCCCGCCCCCCCCCCCGCCCCCCCTCCCCCCCGCGGCCTCGGTTGAGGCTCCGCAGTTCCCTCAGGATTCCCCGCAGTGTCTCTCTGATCGCCGCCATCTTCCCCCCAGAGCTCAGCGTCACTGCGCCGCCGCTCACGGCCACAGAGCGGCGCTGCACTCACAGCCACAGCGACAGAGAGAGAGGGAGAGAGAGTGAGTGAGAGACTGAGAGGGAGACTCGGAGAGAGTGGGAGAGAGTGAGTGAGAGAGAGAGAGAGAGAGAGAGTGAGTGAGAGAGAGAGAGAGAGTGAGAGAGAGAGAGAGAGAGAGTGAGAGAGAGAGAGAGTGAGTGAGAGAGAGAGAGAGGGAGAGATGGGGAACATTTGCTCTTATAGTGTAATTGGGGCTTTTCCTGAGAATCAGCGGTGAAATGGAGTCCCCAATGATTTAAGTGCACAGATACCCTCCGCCCTCTCCCTGAAGGTCAACCGTCAGGAGAGCGAGGGGCGGGCGGGCGGGGGGTGGGGGAGGGGGGGCGGGCGGTGGGGGAGGGAGGGGCGGGCGGGGGTGGGGGGGAGGGAGGGGGTGGGGGGGAGGGGGGCGGGCGGGGGGTGGGGGGGAGGCGGGGTGGGGGAGGGAGGGGTGGGCGGGGGGTGGGGGAGGGGTGGGTGGGGGGTGGGGGGGGGGGGCGGGGGGGGGTGGGGGGAGGGGGGGGCGGGGGGTGGGGGGAGGGGGTGAGGGGGGCGGGCGGGGGTGGGGGGAGGGGGCGGGGGTGGGGGGGGGGGGTGAGGGAGGGGCGGCGGGGGTGGGGGGTGGGAGGGGCGGGCGGGGGTGGGGGTGGGCGGGCGGGGGTGGGGGAGGGGGGGGGGGGGGGGGTGAGGGAGGGGCGGGCGGGGGGTGGGGGGGGGGGGGGGGGGGGGGGGGGGGGCGGGCGGGGGGTGGGGGAGGGGGCGGGGGTGGGGGGGGGGGGGGAGGGCGGGCGGGGGTGGGGGGTGGGGGAGGGGCGGGCGGGGGGGGGGGGGGGGGGCGGGGGGGGGGGGGCGGGCGGGGTGGGGGGGGGGGGGGGGTGGGGGGAGGGGGGTGGGGGGGGTGGGCGGGGGTGGGGGGGGGGGGGCGGGGGGGGGGGGGTGGGGGAGGGGGGGGGGGGGGAGAGCCGCTCCGATTCAATACTCGTTACACATTTGATATGATTCCGTCTGATTTTCACGTCCGCCCAGAGATTTGGACATTTATTTATTTATTTATTTATTTCAGGCCACGCGATGTATCTGCTCCTTCTGTTCCCGCTTTGACTTCCGTTCACCCTAACGGGTGGGGTGGGGTGGGGTGGGGTGGGGTGGGGTGGGTGGGGTGGTCCGCGCTGGAGGAGAGGCGGGAAGGTTTGCCAGACAACGATACCAATGGCAAGCGATGAGATGTTTGCTGGTGAGACTCCAGCAGTCACCCCAACCCAAGCCTTGGCTCTCGCCAACCTGCGCTTCATACCTTCCGGAATTAGGTGACCAGGACGTGTCCCTCTGTAGAGAGAGAGAGAGCGCATTCCGTTCCAACCATCGACCTCCGGGGTTTCCACGTGTAGGTGGGAGGCCGGGAATTCTCCGCTGAGTTTGGAGACTCTTAAAACACAGCGATGGGTGTCACACTCGGCTGATCAAAAAAAAAATCAATTGCCTTTGGGACACACGTGGGATGGTCTCAGCATTTTATACGTAAACACATCACGTCTGTGATTCGATCGTCGTCACCGCACAAAGTCAGCACTTTATATTCAAGCAACTTCTGGGAAATTAGGGCAACGCCCAACTTTCTCTTTTCACAATGAATGTGGACCGGATTTTACAGTCAAACATTTATACCGAAAAACTCCACACAGTTTTGCTTTGACACTTAAGGGGGGGGGGGGGGGGGTCATGTTTTTTGGGGGGTGGGGATGTATAGGGGTGGGGGGGGGGGGTTTGTGTGGTTTGGGCTACAGACATAAATGGTTTTTTTTTCGTGTTTTTTGGACTCGGGACGTAAGGTGTTTCTTGTTGTTATATTATTTGCGGTTCGTGCCCTTGACACGGGGGGAGCATCTCAGAGCACTTCAGGTCGGCAGAGTTTGAGCGTCTGTTGGGTATTGTTAAGAAATAAACAAAATTGATTTAATGTGAATGGAGATAAATAAATCCCTGTTAATAACTTGTTTAAAACCACTCACATTTATGTCTAAATTCTTCAAAGGGATCACTGTTCACTGTAATCATCACTGATGTGAAAAGCGCCACAGAAACGTACTGTGTTGTGTGTCTTACGTCTATTCTCTAAGTGTGACATTGGGACACTGAGCACATGACGATGATTAGTCATATTCCACGAAGCCCAAATTCTTCTCGTCAACAGATTTCTTTACCTTACGATATTTTTAAAGGTGCTAATGGGTTTGGCTTTAACTGTTGGATTGGGGAGTGTGTACACAGCGACTAATCGAGCATTCCCTCACGGTGATGGGCGGTGAGGACTGAACAGTGTCTTTGATCTCATCTTCAATACAATACCAACCTACCAATGACACACCATTGACCTTGTCACTGAGATAGGGAACCACCGACCGACCAACAGTCATTCCACGGTCACCGTTCAACACTGTGTAGTGAGGGGGACCTTCTGCCTGTGAGTGGGTAACAATCCACTGCAACTGTGCAGAGTGGAGATCTCCTGTGGATCCGGTTATTATTGTGGCCATTCAGGAGCGCATTGATAGTAACTGCCATTTATTTATCTGTGGGCAGTCAGTCAGTCAGTGGATTACAATGGGAAGGGAATATTCAACACTGGAGCCGGTTTACCCACCAGGAGAAGCTCCAGTCTCACAGGATTTTTAACAACCACTTGAAGAGGAGCAACAGCAGCAGAAAGGCCACGTTGCAGGAGTCACGAGCACAGAAAGACGCAGAGACAGACTGTGTTCTCACCATTTTTGTTTTTATTAAAAACAGTGCTTTATTACTGTTGGGAAGGGTGTCCCCTCCTTCGAGTTTATAAAAGCCAGCAACAAGATCAATAATTTATACATGGGAAGTAATACAAAAGGAATAATAGTCCATGTCCTATCTACTTAACATTCATGATTATATCTAATTATAACCCAATGAATACTGCTCGGTGATGAAGCTACTACAACAGCTATCATATACCACACTTCCAGGGAAACGTTCACAAAACGAAGCAGAAAGAAAGATCGTTTTCACACTAAGTTGAGTTTTTAAATGAAGGTTAAAATACCATCTGCTTAAGATTTTGCTTTGAGCTTTTTTTTTAATATATTTTAGTGTTTTTGTTTTAAATTCCCTTTCCAACTTCTCCCACATCACAGCCTCCCCGACCCCTCGCCCTTCCCCACTCAGGGACACCTCACACCACAGACCTCTCTCTCTCTCTCTCTGACTGACAGCTCAAGATGTGGTTCCTTTTGACAGAGGGCAACTGTGCCTCTCACCCTCCAACTTTGGTTTGCCTTCAGGGGAGGGTGGGGAGAAAGAATGACGGGGAGAGAAAGGGGGTGGGGTTGGGGGAGAGAGGACACTGTGGAATAGTGCTGCTACAGAGTGAACTGCGTGAATGTGAACGGGAAGAACCAATTTAAGCAAAAACAAGGACAAATCGTTCAAGTATCAGCATCGTCCCCTTCACTGAGAGCGGCTCCAACTCACTCACTGCCGTCTAAACAAAGCGAGTTTCCTATTCTGGCAGTAAAAGGGCAAAAGCACACGGATACCCTCTCACACACTCACACACACACTCACTCACTCACACACCCACTACACTCAGTCCCACACAACCGGACTACACCTAAATGGTGTTCCATCATGATTTACTCCCTACAGGAAAGCTGTGAAGTGCCAGTTCCTGATGGAAGTGAGATTTGTTTCCTCTTCCTTCCTTCCTTCCCTCTCTCTCTCTCTCGCTCACAGTCACCAAATGAGCCTTGAAAACGCAAAGCAAAACATTTCACTACAAAATAAATCGGTAAATGAAATAAGATTGTTCTAGTTATCTGCTCAGCAGTGAAGCAAACTGTAGCTGTAGTGCAAAGGCACTGAACCAATAACTGGTCACAACACCATAAAACAGATTCAAAGTAAAATCGTGATTTGTAGTCAATACATACACACACATATATATAATAATAATCCTTGCATTTGATACAGCGCCTCATCACGTCTTAGAGACGTCTCAAAGTGTTTCACAGAATATACTGGAAAGTGAACTGAATATACTTTGTGGGCGAAACTTGGCCGGCAATTGCGCACAGCAGTGTGCCACAAACAGTCAGTCGTGGATTGAGTGACCCAATTATTATTATATATATATATTATATATTTTGGTTGAAGGGATTATTAGATTATTATAAAGTCAATGACATCTCAGCGTCGCACACAATATCCCCCGCTAATATATGCCAGTTGTGGGTCTACTTTTCCTCTATTGTCATTTAGTGTGGTTACACTAGTCGTGAGAGCTACCAGGGGACAACATGGAGCAGGACGCTAAGTTACCTTTTATTTATAAGGTCCGTTCCTCAGAGAGATGAGACGTTTGTGTGAAGGTTTCCCCATTACAATGACAACTAAAATATTTATATACAAAAAACATAATTGTCATAACAGCGATAAACCACGCTTTGGCTTGCAAAAACAATATTATAATTTAAGGTGGCCAAAAGGGCGGCAGTTTGTGTCCACTACTCTAATGTCCCTTTTTTTTTCTTCCAAAAAACAAAACAATGTTTGAATAGCTTCCTAAACCGGTGGGAATACAGAGCACAGTGTGGATACCACGATCAGAGTAAGTGATCACATTCCACAATGCTAACTAACGTGCACAGCTCAATCCCTCTCCACCCCGACCGCCAACCGAGTTCCTACACCGGCACTGGGCTGACTAACAGATGGAATATCCTTGATAGACTGAGGGTTTGGGGACAGCACGAGGTTAGCAACACTGAGAAGCTCTCCAGCTCAGCCAGCGAGAGACTGGGCCGGTGATGAGTGTGTTTGGCCGGCATTGGGTTCTGCCGAGCAGGTTTTTCCACGCTCCTTTTAAAGGTTTTCAAGCATCTTCAATGCCTCTAAAAGGTTTGCCAACATCACCAGTAGTGGCTTCTTGTTAAAGAAACAGACTTGCTCTGTGTCCCTCCCTCCCTCCCCCTCCACAAACCATGAATATCCTACAAATCTCTGCTGGCTTTGAGCTCGTACTCACTCCCACAATCATCCCCTTCCCATTCCCCTTTCCTTTCATCTCTTACAAGTGAGTGCAACCCAGAAGCTAATCCATACATTTCCTGCACAGCACCAACAAGATTCCTAGTCTGTGTAACTGATCAGAAACAGCGGTCAATGAAATAAAGGCCTCAAAACAACAACAACAACAACAACAAAAATCAGAACCATTGCACCAGGTGATCGAGTCGGACAAGCGTTTGATTGAAAAAGTCACCAATTTTCAGACTGAAAGTAAAGAGCACATTCCCTGGGTTGTGACTCCCTTCACCATCTATCTTAGGCTACACTGAAAAGAACACACTTTCCACAGGATAGTTTGACTGGGTAATAACATCAGTATGTTTACAATAGAGGCCTGACATCATTAAAAATAACACAGATTTAGTGCCAACGTTTTTAAACTGTGTCACATCGAATGTGTAGTGTAATACCAGCCCTGCGTCCACCACCAGGGCACGAGGAGGCAAGCTACATGAAACTGGGATCCCAATGCATTTGATCCTCAACAAAACTGTTTGGGGGGTCAAAGAAAATAAAGTAATTAACAACCTTGCTTTGTAAAGCCACCGAGTCTGAGGCACGAGCAGGAACAGAAAATAAACAAGCCCCGTGTGCCAATGTGCACATCCTTTGCTGTTCACTGGCTGCTCAGACAATGTGAAACATCAAGGTTTCTCCCCCCTTACTGTGTTGCTGTCATCAGCTCGGTGCAATTTAGCAGCGTTAGGAACAGGCTGACAGTCTTCCCCTTTGGATATGCACAAGCGCAGACACATCCGTCTACTCTTAGGAAAATAGGCCATTATTGTTTTCAACCCAGATGTGCGCAGTGATGTCTCCAAGGTGTAATGAAATTGAGCTCCATTGTAGCCTCTCACACACTGCAGGCCGCCCCCCTCGGCCTCCCCAAGCATCACCTCCCACTCTGGACTTTCACTAACCTCTACTTGTGACTTAAGTTGTTTTGTTTTTTTTTCCTGTTTGTTTCACTCTCTTCTCTGCTGAACATGATTTCATAAATGTCACTACACACACACACACGCACGCGCACACACACTCACACACGCGCGCGTGCGCACACACACACACAAAGAAATGCACTTTATACCACAGTTAAAAACTGTTTTGCACAATCTTTGGAACAAAAAAAAATAAAGGCAGAAACGTAAGGAAAAAAAATACATGTTTAGAAGAACATAATGAGGTATAAAAAAGTAGCTTTCTCTCTTGTGGATTGTTTTTTTCCTCTCTTTTTCGTGTATTTCTCATGTGAAGTTGCTATAAAGTTCCACTACTCGTAATATTGCAACACCCAGGCCTTGGGAAAGGGCTGTTCCCATTGCAGGAGTTCACATCACTTTAGTAGGGAGCAAAACGGCTGTATCCGCCTCGGTATAAACTAGCCTGAAAAAGAGAGAGCTCGTTAGAAAAGCACAGCACATCGGCAATATACCCTTCTAATCAGCCTACGATTAGCGCGAGATTGATTATAAGTCGGTGCTGGTGCAAGGCAGCAGCACAGGACATGTACACAGAGCTTTTCACGTTGTGTCTAAGGCACCGGACAGTCATGGATTTGGCCTCGAGCTGGGGGTTGGGATCAGGAGGGATGGAGGGCAGGGAGGGTAGGGGTAGGAAGGCGACCGAAGGTGCGCTCGAAGAGGAGCGTCTTGTGACGACGGGCTGTGCTGAACTCTGTGCTGCCTTACCGCTCACAGCTGCCGAAGCAGAAAGCAGAACACTGTGCAAAGGTAAATCGGATACATACTTAAGGAAAAATAATATTAAAGGGCACAGGAGAAAGAGCAGGGGCTGGGACAGTCAGAGTTCCAGTGAGGGAGCTCGCACCAGCAGACACGATGGGCCAAATGACCTTTCTCTGGTAATACAAATGTTCTCGGGTTCCTCCAACAATTACCCAGTTGGGTGAATATCAGTAGGTAAACACATGTGGCACAAACAGCTACCGTAACCTCCTGATCCACCATCAATCAAACAGCTGTAGGACTTCAGGTCAAGTCAGTAAAAGGCAGTGGGGAAGTACAGAGAATTGACAATCGGGGGTGTAGGAGCGTCTACAGCTGCCATTTGGGGGTAGAACAGAGATAAACACTTTGGTCCAGACTGATTAATAGCGCGGGATCCAATTGAATCTCGGGAGTACGTCTTCCCCTCCCATTCCTGGTTTCAATTGCAGATAAACTATTATGTTTTTAAAGAATCCGGCCCTTAACCGTGCATTTGTTTCTTGAGTAGATATTTATCCAATTCTTATCTGAAGGGGTTAATTCGCATCAATTGCTTTTGTGATGCATTAACCAATCAAAACCTAATCCATCACTTAAATTGAACGCAGTGCCTGTATGTACGTTGCAGAGATTTGCCGATCAGATAGCAGCGGACACCGGCCACACAGATATGGCAAAATTAAACCATTTCTCAGCTTGCCTGATAACACTAACAGGTTGCCAGGCTCCAGACAGATTCAATTAAGGAGGATGGATGGCACCTCGGCTGCAGTCACATCAAATGTGAACCATTTCACTTTCTGATTGCTTATCAGCGCCTTTGCTTCCCAAAGAATTACCGACTAACAGCAGACAGGCCGTTGCTTTGATTAAGCCACCAAGTGCAGATAATTTACTCCACTCCGCCTATTAAAAGTTCTTCCTAAATTCCCATTGTGTGCTGCACTGCCTCTGCCCACTGTGTATTCAAGCTGCTTCTCTGCTTCAGATACTCTGTGCCCTGTTTCCTTCTTGCTCCCCAAAGCCTTTAATATTCAGGCGTCTATCCAATTCCCATTAATCTATGGCGTCTACTTTAATGAGTTGGCAGCAGATCGCTGTGTGTTGGGGCATTATTCCAGTTACGTACATCGAGAAGGTCAACATCGGAAAGCTTGACCAGTTGACTTACCACAGCGCTGACTCCGTAGGTGGGAGCAGGAGCGAGCGTGTGGTAGGGGTCCGCTGTGTAAACCCGCCCATAGCTGTGGAAAAGACCAACACAAATCAATTGATTACAATTGCAGAGGCAGAAATGCATTCGTTAGTCGATTGGGGAATGGCTTATCGGGGGTAATAATCCCTTCACTCAATCCACGACTGTTTGTGGGACGCTGCTGTGCGCAATTGGCTGCCATGTTTTGCCCACAAAATATACGAGCACTATACAGTATATTCTGTGAAGCGCTTTGAGACGTCTCAATAACTTGATAAGGCCCTGTATCAAATGCAAGGTTTGGTTCGGGTCCTTTCAGAGAATGACAAGTGATGTTCCACTAAGGTAATACGCACAGTTCATAGTTCCCTCACTAACAGGCAATCAAATTGAAAGCACTTTTTCAATAATGCAGGTTTCATGAGAACAAACTCAGAAATAACACACCCAGTTTATGGCTGTGACGGCCTTGCCCATCCCTTGCGAAGGAAACAGTACTGATGAATGTGAGAGCTGCTGTGAGGTGAGCTCAGGCCCTTATGTGACGTTGAATGCCACTGCAGTGTCCAATTGCAAACGCACAGAGTGAAAGGAGCCAGAGCTGGGGAGTGCGGGTGGCACTTACCTGTCACTGTACGCTGTTGCGGTGGCAGTTGCTGGCTGTGCATATCTATAAGCTGCATATCCTCCCTGGAACAAACAAGAACCTGCTTAAGTATCGTGGAGACACACTGTCTGTCAGCAGAGCAAATCAATAGCAAAAACTGCATTTGTTTGGTATATTCCAGACTTTTCAAAGCCAAAAACACTGATGGGGAGCAATACTTTGTTGTGGTTTGACACCAGATTTCAGTTAGCCTTTTGTTGCTCATGTCCTCGCATATGACTTGACGTGTCTCACCAGAACAATTTAGAAAGCCTGACCATCCCGATTCTCAAACTACCCAGTGGAGGATTGTGGACAGAGGATGCCGTGGCGGTTAACCTGGGACTGGCTCAGCACTGTGCATTAACTCCACTTTCAGTCTGCTCTGCACCGTGCGATAAAGTCAGGTCTCCAGACAAGCTCACTCATCACTGTGCGAATGACTCAAGTCTTGGCCAACATTCCCACCTGCTCTGCACCAGGCAATAATCCTGATCTCAGCTAAAAAAAAACTCCCATCTGCTCAACAGCCTCCAGTACAGAACCATTCACCTTCAGCTGCTCGGGCCCTGCCTTACCAGTGAAGTCCCTGGGGAAAATGTAGATGGGGAGTGAGGATGGGATCAGAATTGCCACCCTGGCAAAAAATTGGAAGAGGACAAATCCAAGAGGTTTTTGTGGTGAAACTAATCTAGCGAGTATTCAAGTTAGAGCAAATTCTCACTAGAACTCCTGAAGCAATTTTCTATCATTGTTGCAGTCTTCCCTCGGGGATGTAGCTGTGCACTGCCTACTGAACGATATATAAACAAATGCAGTTTTTGAACAACAGTTCTATGTGAGTAGAATTGAGTCCTTATTGTATAAACAGTCAAGCTGTGGGTATCCATCAATCAGGAGAAATCGGAGCATGCGAACATCCGAATCTACAGCACTAGCAATCACCAACCAAATGAACCACAGGCTAACTCTGGCCGTCCCAGCATTCTCCAGAGGATGGCCCTCAGCCCTATTCTCTATGGCAAGCCGAGTGAAGGAAACAGCCTGGATTACTAGAGCGTGCAGCAGGATCTCGAGTATTATATATATATGTATATATATGGAGATAAAAAAAACATTCACGATCACCATTCACTCATTGCAGCTTCTCCCGCGTACCTGAGAGGTTAACATTCACATCAAGCAAACCACATTAAAGGTTCTTGCTGCAGTTAGAGATGGGAGCCAGGATACTAACCAACCTCCAGACTGTTTAGCTGGTATTGTAGGAATTCTGTGATTTGATGGGAGTAGCGCCTTCGGGATTCCTTCCTTTAGCACAAACGTTTACTACCAACCAGGGAAAGCAAAATCCCAACATGTTATTAGTGGTCAAACTACATTGTCTACCACAACAGCTGAATTCTATAGCTCCCCATATTGCCTGATGGGTAAGAAGCCCTAACGTTGCACATTTGTATGTTGGATCAGTGGAGAAAGGGGGGCCCGTGGGGAGTAATGACAAAGTCTGCTCTACTCACTCGGCTCCTGCAGCTGTGTGTGAAAAGAAATCAAATAGCCACAATTCAACCAAAGTGCACCTAAATATTCATTACCCATCTCCAGAAAAAGATTTCAGTGCATTAACAAGAAAGCTCAGAACATTCGCTGCTATCTTTAGCAGACGTTACGTATGAAAGCAGTATCAGTCGGGTGCTGATCTGAGCACTGAAGCTATGTATAGATGGGGAAGGAGACTGTATTTGTGGCACATTGTACTGAATGGAAGTGACTTGCTTCAATTGGAATTCGATGCTTGAATTGCATTACGTTCCTATCCGCAGGCTCCTGTATGATTAACGCACTGCAGAGATGCTTCCATATTTCCCAATGATATCGCTGCCTCCTTTTTAAATGCAATATATATATATATATATTAAATGACATGATTCATTTCTCTTTACTGATTTGTATCCACTCACCAGAATGGAATCATTCTCTTTTGTGCTTGGATGAAGCCTGAGTTCTCAAACTCTGAGCTCACTGATGATATGAGGACTGGGGGGAGTCCAGGGTTAAAGCAGTGTCTGGCTCCTCACCACCTGTACAGCACCTTCTGATGGAAGTGAATGAACTGAAGGGTGACTCACACCAGTCCACTCCTGCACAGCTCAGTGACTGGTCAGATTGAATGGGATCACTGAAGCCTAGCGGGAACGCGCCCCCCCACCTTCGCGACAGAATGGTGAGGATATTTTTAACTCTTCGTCTGCTGAAGGGGCAGGCACATGCACTGAGGCGGATAGATTTCTGTTAGGTCAGGGTATCAAGGGATATGGGGCCAGGGCAGGTAATTGGGAGTTGAGGTGCAGATCAGCCATGATCTTACAGAATGGCGGAACAGGCTCGAGGGCTGAATGGCCTCCTCCTATGCTGGGATCTGGTAGCCCTTCGCTGTGAGAACGCACAGAGAGCGAGGCCACGGGCTATGTGATATTTGAGCTCAATGGGAGTGAACCTCAGACTTTCCTGGTCTGAATAGCTTAGCTTGATATTGGGCAGTGTGTTTACTGAGGAACTATAAAGCTTTTTATAAAAGGGAAGAGGGATGGGGGGACATAAGGCACAGAAATCTCTGGGACTGCCAAAATGTAGTGGTTCTCTGGTGCCGCTTCCATCTATGAACTCCAGCTTCATCTCCAACATAAAGGTAAGATAAGAAGCTTTATCCGATGTGATTTGGGTGTTGGAGTATGCTGGATCACAGCCTTTAACCTAAGTCAATCAGATAGGATGAGCTACTGGTTCTCCGGTGAAGTACTAAGTGTTCTAAGTAAAATGCGTTATGCAGTCTCAACCCAGCCCAGAATAGGTAGCATTAGCCACCCTATACTTTGGCCACTGGAAGAATAAGAAAAAGGTTAAGAAGAGAAACTCAAGTCCACAAGTTGTGAAACCAATTGTTTAGCTTGATTTAGTGCCCGCTCCCATCCGTAACTGCAGTCTTGCTGTTAGTAGGATTTGTCACTGCAATCACAATCTGTGCGATTGGTCTCCACACATTTCCATCATACCTGCGGTAACTTACTGCTATACACTGGTTCCTGATACACTATTCTATAACAAAACACAGGGGAGAATATTGGCGACGAGGCTGGAAAAGAAATAACTAAAAAGAGTAGAGACCCTTGTTGGATAAAGCCATTCTGTTATTAGAGTATGCTTCACACCGAGGGAGCTGAATACTAACACAAGTGAAAGCCGTGTCATTAGAACTGCATGCATTAGAAACTCATGGATTAAGTTTGCTCTGTGAGCCTAGGGCATTCTTGTGCTAAATGCTCCTGTTTCATTGTGAAACCTTTAAGGAAACTTAAAAAGAAAATTAAAAATATAAACAGCAATATTATAGAGCACGGACATCAAGCCTCCCCACATGACTTTATCAGCAGCTCAGCTCAGCTCCCTCAAGTGTGTAACTGTGCTGAATACTGCAATCATCAGCTTACAGCATGCTTGTTGCCACAGAATAAACAGAATACCTGACTGAATGGGAGTCGGAACTCAGATTTATGTCATAATCTTAATCTAGCAATGCCATGCTAACTAACTATGAAATTAGTGAAAGGCAGGCTGGCCAAAGACATCACTGCAAGCTAAGACGAGGTTCAGCATACTGGTTTGAAGAATGGCTTCATCAACACAAGAGGGACAAGGTGAAATGGCGTTGATACTTACATAGAGGTCGGCACCATAAAATCCATCCTGGTAAACCACACTGCAGGGATGCACACAGAAACACTCTCATTACTGCAATTCCAACATGCAAGGGCTCACAAAGGCAAGGTTTGTCACAGCACCCGAGAACATTCTCTCTCCACTGGAGACTTGCTAGTTTCAAAGTAACTTGGATTAAATAGGGGTCATTTCTTTTCAACGTGTATAACTCCAGGGTTTAGACTATTTAACCAGAAGACAATCCGAACGGTTGCCATCTTTATCCGTCTATTTGTTACAAAGAAGCAGCACAATATTTACACTGCCTCGTTCAGAGATGTGTGGGAGGTTGTTCTACATTGCTGTACTTTTAGGACTTGGAGAAGGTTCCCTTTGGGTTAGACTGCAGGTAAGCCGAGACTCTGAAAGTTTCTTTAACCCTCAAGCTTTTCATCTCAATTACACCTTTCAAAATGTAACACTTGCAACAGATCAGAAACACAACAACAAACTGCTTCAGAGATTTAGAGAAAACTAAGAGTGGGAGATGAGAAGGCACATGACATGTTTAAGTATCTCAAATGAACAGACCTACAAAGGTCTCAGGCTCGTGCACACACGACCAGTTTACTGTTCAGATGCTGACAGCCAAGTCATTGTTACCCAGATTCTGTCTGGCCTTTTGCTCAGGGAAACATGCATGAAACGGGGAAGAAAAAACTTGGGGATATTACAGAAGTGCCACCAAGAAGTATGCGTGCGTACCTATAAAATCGACAAAGTAATGCAGAGAATTTGACACTGAATTAACGTGTCCGATCAATGCAACTCCCCTATGCCTGAATTCTTTATGGGCACTCCAAATGAAATGCTATTATAACAACCATCAATTTAATGTAAAATACATTCCACATGAGTGCAGGAATAAGGGTTTAAGTCAAGTCTTTGGTCCTAGCTTATCTCAGCAATTCCTCTGCCCCATTGACAGTGTTCAGTGTATTTCAGATGTCAGTTTGACAACTCTACTTCTCTTTCACTTAAGACAAACCTTGCCTCTAAGCCATCAGTGTCAATGTTAGTTAACATATCTACATGCTTCTACAAGTACAGCCCTGAAGGCTAATATTATCAGTAAACCATGCTTGTGCTAGGGTTCCTGCTGAATACCTATCTCCGAGATTGGTAAAGCTTTCTCCCTCTCCCACCCCTCCTCTCTCTCTGTGAGACACATCTCTTTATGCCAAGATCACCCAGGCTTCCTGATCTCTTGCAATAACCACTACAAGATGTTTGAAAGCAGCCCCAAATGACCAACTCCCTGACTGAAGGAAGTCACCAATCCGGCACTCAACAGCTTTCTTTGACTTGTCAGATGCTGAGCTCACTGCATGGGGAGAGTGTAGGAATAAACCCAGGCTCTGGCACTCTGTGCCAACTATAGTGCTGCAGCTTACCACAGCAAAGCACAAGACAATGCTGTCTTAGAGATAGCTCGCATTGGGACCAACACCCAGACTCTTATCTCCCATGGCACTGCTCAAGTATGCGTGGTCCTGCCAATACGTACAGTGGAGAGAGCCCAGAAAACCTGAATAGGGAGCAATCAGGAGAACTTTTAATTGGATTCTGGGACCCAGGCAATTTATAAATCTCTGTTTCCTTTGAGAGGTTTATTTTTAAAGCAACTGTGTAACATGCAGGTATTTGAGAGAGGAAACACTTTATTGCTTGTAAATTCACACAACTTTAGATGCTGTTGGGAGTTAACGTTTTGGATCAGAAATATATAATGTACGGCTAAGAAACGATTGACAAGACACCAACTGATAATCAGGGCCACATTTGGACTTCCCCAAACAGCATGTGCACAAAGTGCTGTTGCTGGAATTCCAACATAAATCACTCCAGTGAGTGGAGATCAGCTATTCAGACCCCTGATCCCTCACATGATGTGTGTGCTGTGATGAGAAGCCAGGTCAGGCGCTCGCTCTCCCTCACACACACACACAGACACAGACAGGGAAGATCAGAGGAGCAGATATCCGGAGCTGCTTTCATGTCTCGCTCGCAGGCCTGAATGGCGCACTAAGGACAATTTGATATGGAGCAGCAACCCTCATTCACTGAAGGGCACTCAAATAAAGTAAGTTATGTCACACGTACGTAGACACCAGCATCACATGCCATGTTACAGGAGATCTGACCACTAGCATCTATAAAGGAATCTCTGTTTTGCTTGGGAAGACAGAAGAAGATTTTTTNAAAAAAAATAAAGAGCTAAATCAGGAAACTGTAAAGCCTGAAACACTGAGAGTCAGAGACTCCTACTGTTACTAAAACAAAATGCTTAATGTCAGCTATCATTCAATTTCTATATTAACAGGAGATTAGGAATATGAGGAATGGGACAGTGAATTTAATACTGTTAAACCTTCCAGTCACCTTGTACTATTTTTCAGTGGTTATTCTATTAATACCCAGACTAAAAGCAATGCATCACAAGTATATGTAACATTATAATCAATATTACCAGAATCCACACATGCAGTTTGAAGGCTGGCACTCAGTTACTTTAGGTCAGGGACGTAACAGCTGATGTCCCCCCTCCACAGACCTGGGCCCGAAGGCCACTGTTAGCCGGCTAACCCCACACCTTCCAAACCCACACAACTCAAGACTGCTGTTAGTGGTGAGGTTACAAGCTGAATCATCGGGGAAATGGAATGATTGGGTGTCTGTCTCTATTGTGTTAGGTTTGTATCACAGTTGTATTTCTTTGTAAATTTCATGCACGGATGAAGCGAGTTCACACCCAGGCAAGAATCCTTACCCTCCATAGGTGGGGATGGCTGTAGGAGGTGCTGCTGCCCGGAATGCACTATACACTGCCCGTCCGCGACCTCTCAGGGCACCTCTGAGCGCGGCTGCAGTGGTGGCTGCGGGGTAGGGGAAGCCAGGCACTGTGGATGTGGAGAAAGCAGAGGGAAAGAAAAGTAACGTAGTTATGACTCAATTAGATGGGAGGATAGCCAACCACACCGAACTCCCAGAGTGATGGGAATCAAACCATCACAAAAACACAGAGGCAGACAAGGGGATATCGTAAAGCAAACATGACATTTTATTGTTTAAAACAAAATTAACACACGGGTTCTATAATAATAATTATGTTTGCATTTGATGTAGCACTTTATCACGTCGCTGAGACGTCTCAAAGTGCTTCACAGAATATATTGTAAGGTGAATTGACTGTGAATTTTATGGGGGGAAATGCAGCAGCCAATTGCACGCAAAATAAGTCTAATTTTAATTAACAGGCAACAATTTGAAATTGCTTTAGGTGCATCAACTCGCACACAATAGCAAACCATCATGAACTCGTTCAAGAGGCTAAACCAGTGACTTGAACTCACCCACTGCTGCAGGCTCTCCACAATATCTGGGGGGTACAGGAGGCAAAAGGAACATCCGTTATCAACTTTTCTTACCGTTATGTGTCGGGCTGAGTGCTGTCGAGGCGACAGGATGTAGGTGAAAGGGTAACGATGATAACGATGCAGGACCTGAAAACAGCGAACAGTATAACTGGTAAAATCTCAAAGGATTTGGGCACCAACTTACGTGAGAAATAAACTGTATATATTATATCTATATTGGGGCACAGAATCTCTTAGCCAAGGTTAATGGCACAGATTTTGTCCAGCACAATATAATTGGGATACAGCACTGAAAAGTTGCATTACATGAATAAAGGCAGTGACAATTCCCAGGAACAAATAATAATAATCTTTGCACTTGATATTGCCTTATCGTGTCGGACAAACATCTCCGAGCATTTTTACTGCAAAGTCCAGTGACTATTTGTAGGCAAACGGTAAATTTGTCTGCACAATTTAAATGGATTCATTCCAGGTCATCCCCCTTCTTTTGTGAGCAAGGTGTTGGCTTAACGCCTTATAATAATACATTGTTGATGCCTTATTAGAAGTTTTATGTACTCTTTGCCCTTTTTGAGGTGGGAGCCAAAGTGTCTCAATGGAGCCAAATTTCAACTGTGAACATGGCGACATTTAGACAGAATCATAGTTACTTTTCTTTCTGAAAAACAGCCACACATTTAGACAGCGAGAGTCCTCACCTGCATAAAATTCAGGGCTATAGACGGCACCAACCACTGGACTCAGCTTCCAGCCTGAAATAATTCAATCAAAAGGGAGGTGAAACAGAGCATCGATAGAAGATCATACAATATATTAATTACCACAACACTAGGCAATGGTAACAAACAGAGAACTGGCAGTCAAAAACCCAGCACCTGCAGATGAATTGGCATAGGAAATCACATGAAACAGCAACGTTTAAACGGTTGGGTGTGGAGATGTTGGCCGTGTAGACGGGCAATTATTTTGTGAGAAAAACTGCGTGAGGGCCACTAAACGAGTTAAAGAGTTAAATGGACTGCGTACCCTTGGTTGAAGGGCAAACGGCTTTTTTTTTTTAAAAATCACTCTGGAAGCGAGAGGGAGGTTATCCAGGAATGTTTTAGTGATTTTATTTTTAACTGCCTGCCTTTCAGTGGTGTGACTCTACAATGACATGACCCCACAATGACATTAATTACTTGCCTCTCCACTGTATGTTTGAGGACCTTCTGGCCTTATACACAAATACTACCCATCCATCCACCTGCTCCATCGTGTCAAGCTGATGTGCTCACAGGGAGGGTTGAATACCTTGTGGGCTGGAAACATGAACTTCTAAAATCAGCCCTTTACTCGTTTCCCCTCACTCCACACATTAGTTTAGCCTGGTCACACAGCACTGTGCATTCTCACTGCGGTCACCGCAAGCACTAGCCCTCCTGTATCTCCAAGTACCATTGAGTGATTGGAATGGTATGCACCAATGAACTCAGCAAAAAGCCTCCACACCAACCCAATGCCTGCAAATGACTTTGGATAACGATAAAGAGCAAGAACTCTGATTAACCTATTCACCTCTCTCTCACACACTGAAGCTTCACATTTCCCATACAGTAGCGGTCACAGTTATGTCGAAGGACCACTCTGCTGGCCCTGTTCCAGTTACACTCAGCCAAACCAGTCCCAGTCTGATCACATTGTAGATGCGAACACGTTGAATCATAGAATCTTACGACACAGAAGGAGGATATTCGGCCCATCGTGCCTGTGCCGGCTCTTTGAAAAAGCCATCAACTAGTGCCACTGCTCTGCTCTTACCCCACAGACTGCATAAAATGGATTTGCACAATATTGATTGCTTATAGTACTCATTGTATTCACTATAGTGCTTATTGTACAGCATTATTCCTGCGGAATATTACAAAATGAATCATTCAAGTGCTTACCATTTGCATAAGGGCTGACCATCTTTTTATTAGTCATCACACGGGCCGTGGCATTGTTTACCTGAGGTACACAGACCCACACAAAACAAGTATATTAAACCGGAGAAAGCCCATTACATTGCCAATATAATGCATGCAAGTTTAACAAAAGTAGAGATTTAACTTTACATAATTATTCAGTCATAATTAAAAATAAAATGTACAAATTACTTTTTTTTCTAAAAACTCAATATACAATTATTATTAAACTATGAAACAATTAAAAATATTTTCAACAAGGTGACAAAGGTAAATCAGTCTTTCTCAGGCAAGTTCTCATCAATTCCTTCATTCAGAATAGCTGTTAAGCCAGTATGATGGAGACACAAAACAATTCCATGTGTCTGTGCTTCAGGTTAGTATGGGCTCTTCAGTGGGAATTGGAAGGACAGACTAGACATTGATGGTAGGGATTCTTCCCACTCAGCTCCTGTTAACCCTGCAAGCCAAAGCTCTAACAGGTAGGTAGGGTGGTCCTAGCTGGACAGGCAGCGAGAAAGCTTGCCAGACAGCACTCTTAATGCCAAAGCTACTCTCTGGAATTAGGTAAGGAGGATGCATCCCTCCTGGGAGAGTATGCGCATTTCATTACAATAACATCGCTGGGATTTCCATGTGTAGGTGGGATGCATGGAATTCTCGGTTTGGTTTGAATACCAGACACCTGGCTGATCACGGTGACAGATTTCTTCATGTGTCAGACACCTGGCTGACCAAAAACAATTAACCCACCAGATCTTGGGTAGACATTGGGATATTCCCACGCCTGTGTAGTCAGGTGTTTTGGTCAGCCAGGTGTTCGACACAGGCGCAAACACATCACCGTGCTTACAAGTATCCAATTAATTGTAGTGTGCCCTGTGGAGAATCGACAGAGTCACAAATCTTGGGAGTACAGAAGAAACATCAGGAACAGAATATGACAATGTCATTTCAATTATTTTCAATGGTCAGCTTGACTCACAAATCAAACTTGCTCCCAAAACACAACTGAAAGATTACTGTACTGTACAAAATGTAAGAATTATTATGGTTTATTATGATCACACTGGGCTGTGAGATGACAAGACCAATTTATGTCAAGGTGGCACTATATTAACTATAGGAAATCACAAAGTTCCCCCTGGACAATAGGGTTTTGTTATGCACATGTGCAAACCATGTGAAACCAGCTGCATTAGGCACAGTATTAAACAAATGTGTGTACAGGATAGCCTAAATACAGCATTAATCCTTTTCATTGGCCTTTGCTGTCTTCCAGTCCTAGCTGGGTCAGCAGCAGGAAGGTCAATAATTGCGCTCAGTTTCACCGGGGGGCGGGGGTGGGCAGAGAAGAGCAACTTTGCCTCCTGCTGGAAGCCATGTGTGGTTGCCAGTAGCCGGTGGGATGTCCCTTCTCCCCCTTTAACCCAATTTAATTCCCCAGAATTTAGAAACTTTCCCAAAATGGGTGAAAAGTGGTAGTAGCTTTGAGTGCACTTCAAGAATTTTTCTCTCCATTACTTTTATCTTTAGATAGAATTTTTAAAATTGTAGTCTGACAATATAAAGAGATGTGCTGTGAATGTGACTGTGGCAGAGCCCCTCTCTCTCTCTGGAGATAAAATGCGTCTGAGCATCACTAAGAAGAGCAAAGTAATGTGAGTCCACCCTCCACAAACAAGGTGGACAATTATTCGCCTGAGAAATGAGATTTACCTTCGTTGAGCCAGACACAAAAAAAAATGGCACAAAACAATGAAACAGGGAACATGCAACGAAAATAAACTAAAAAAAAAAATAGAAATTAATAACACAAAGTAGTGAAGGGCGTTAAACATTAAAGTGAGGGCAAAAGTCAGTTTTCCAGCATTGTGCAACATGAGCACCAAGGGAAGGGGGCAAGAACCATTGGATAAGCCACACACTGAGCCAAGAGAACAAGAGCCACGATCCCAGAAAAACAGAGTAACCATTCACAGGCGTGACATACGAGGAGAGGGGGGGAAGAGGACAAACAAACACAAAGAGAGAGGGGTGCATTAATAGCAAAACTGTAGTTAAAACTCGGAGTAAGATGTGTAGGAGTCACCATCAGTCAATTACCAATATAGCTCAGGCTGCTCAAAAAAAATAAAATAAAAAAAATGTACAGTCCAGTATAGGCGGCACCAAAAAACAGCATTGAAAAGGGGGGAAAACGACAAGTCAATTCACATTCGTAGCGTTAAACGTGAAATGGCAGATGGGTTTCCTTTTTGTTTTGTGTTCGTTTGTTTTTTTCCCTGTTTTTTTTGTTCACTTACCCCCTTGTGTACCATCGCCAGCATGTATAGTTACCATGGTTACTGTGACTCAAGTGAAGGGCCCTAAACGCTACACCATCGAGGAGGGAAATATAAAAAAAAGCAAAATATGCAAACATCTTACTCGAAAGGCTTTAAATGATTCACAAAGACCAGTCTGCAGACAATGCAGAGTTGAGGGGCAAATCAATGGCTTAACGTTTCCTTAAAGTTAACAATATTCTCTCCAGGATAAATCCAAGCTCAATTGAGGACTTGGGACCCTCTTTGCACTTGCATTACCCAAATTCAATTGCAGTTTGGTTTCCTACAAACAGTTCATGTCGGAGACTCTAAGGATAACTCTTTTACAGAAGCATCTCTTTGGCTGTCAAATCAAATGGGGGGGGAGGGGGAGTGGGTGTTTATTTTATTTGATCTGAATGATTCACTTTGCAGTGCATTCAGTTGAATGTTTGTCTGCAGGGATTTGGAAAGTAGGCTATGTGGTACCTCTCTCTCTCTCACAATTTTTTAAAAAAATAATGAATATGTTCCACCGCTGAATTCACCCCTCAGCACTGCGTTGAAGAAAACTGACTCGTTTCATTTGTTTTCCGTACTTTGACCTCAGAAAACAAGGGGGACCTAATTGCACCCTACTTCGATAAGACGCAGAGGTAAAACCGGACATTCTCATTGCCAAAACAGAAAAGGAGCCTTACACATCAGAAGCCAAAAAAAAAGAAGGGGGGGGGGGGGGGGTAAAGAAACAGAATAATCCTAATCAGCGAGGCTGGAGGAATTACTGTGTAAATTAAAATGTGCAAGAAAGAGGTTGGGTGGGTGGTGTGTGGTGGTGGGGGGAGGGGGAGGAGGAGTAGTTAGAACAATGACGCACATAAGATGACCATCGAACAACCAGTGTACAAAATAAAAAAAAGTGAGGCAAGACATTTAAAAAAAAATGGAAGGAAACAATTATTAAGACATGCACCTCTATTTTACGGCCCTCAACCACGGTGCCGTGTAATTTCTCCCTCGCCCTGTCGGCATCAGCACTAGATTCGAAAGTTACGAAACCGAATCCCTGCATGCGGCGGGAGAAGGGGGGAGAACAACATGCACATCATTATAAATAGAACAAGTACATGACCACAATCAGCAATACTCTTCTCGCTCATCCTCATGCATGTTTCTTGGGAAATTAAAAAGAAATAAAAATAAGCAGAAAGGCCACACAAAAATTAAGACTCGTTACTCGGGCTGTGATTGTGGTGTTCGGGGCTGGGGCCACGGCCTGTGCTGAGGGGAGGGAACGCAGCAAACAGCAAGTGTGAAGAGATGCGGTACTGGAATGGGATTTCTCGGAAGCTGTGCCCTACACCGAGCATTTTGTGCAACTAAACATTTGCAGGAGCTCTTCTCATTTTCTGCCAAAGCTCCCGTGGCCTTGTGAGTTGACATTTCAGTTTTATTTTGCCACTTTTAATCTTCCGAGCTATTTTGAATGGTGACAGGTGTTATGCCATGTGTGAAAGCCTGGATCCACCCTCCCCCCTTCCGAGGCTGCCAGACTTCATAGCCGGTGAGTGTAACGTTTCTTCACTGTTCCCTTCTCATCTGTGCCTTTGTCTATTCTATCAGGCACGAGACTACAAGGTTCCACCTATGAAAATTCTACCTCAATTTACCTAGAATAGTTTTCAAGCAATTTGAAGAGGTAAAGAATTTGCACTTATACAGCACACGTAGGACAAACATCTCAAAGATGATAGGAATCACCGAGCAAGGAGGAAAGTTTAAGAGCATGTTGAGCAAAGCTAATCAAAGAGGTGAGTTTCTAAGAGGGTTTTGAAGGCAGGAAGAGAAAGCACGAGGTGAAGGGATTTTAGGAGAACATTCCAGAGGGCCACAGCTGGTAAATACATCATTTGGTTTGATGCTGAGCTCCAGAATGCACAAGCTTTGATCTCAGGGGGGCTAACAGTGGGGTGAGAGGTTGAGAAATTCTTCAGTGACCCATGCAGCCAATGAAAATCCACATCACATCAAGGGTCCTCTTTTGAGCAATATCGAAAAATATCCAAAGGGCTTGAGCAGAAGCAAACTCTGGCTGTAAGTGATCGCAGTCTATCAGGTCCAAGACCCTTCACTGACAAATTTCTTCTGCAGAAATGCAATTGCGAACTGATAGGGAACATAAGGCACTATATCAAATGCAAGGTTTATTATTATTATTATAGGCAATCCCAAAGGACAGCGATGTAGAAGTTAAATCACCCGACTATTCCAACTTCTAGGCTTAGCCCAATCTCCCTGAATTGTCCAAAGGGGGAGGTTTTGAAGAGGGAATACTCCACCCCAATTTCTAGTCACATAGATGATCTTGGAACAACTACACTGAAAGAAATCCCTATTTTGAGGAACGGGTGGTTTGGTCAAAACATTGTCCTTTTCACCTCTGGAGCCTGGGTTTGAGCCAGCTCTAACAGATGGGCCGAAATTCTCCTCTCACAGCTAGAAAGACCCCAAGTGAAATGAGTTCTGACAATCTCAATCCAGATCCAAATGGGCAAGCGTCCACAGCATAATGAGTCATAATTCAGGGCTAATTGGCAGTTACTCAGAGATGTCACAAGAATATAGCAAATATAAGTGCAGAAGCTGCTCTTGGGGCAAGAAACACATTGCTGGGGTAGAATAGAGCAAGCACTAACCAGGGAGCACTCATTACAGACAAGAAATTGAAAAATATTGAGGTAAGAAAAGCAGCCTGCACAGAATGACTGGAGCTCTCACCAGGCAATGCAGTATATTAAAATTCTTCAACTCACAGGTGGTGGATGTTTGGTTTCAAGCGCTCTGAGATGCTATGCTGCGTGAGGCGGTCATGGTGATATCGCAGCATATGTCACGGCCGAAAGATATATTCTAAATCCTTGAGGATGATCTTGAATTTAGCAGCTAATATTACCACTACAACTGATGTAGATGGCCATGGATACGGTGTTGATATTACAATCCATGACACTTTTACTATGACCCAAGCTATAACTATAAATATACATATTTTATTCCCTGGAGTTGAGGGTTATAGAAAGATGATAAGAGGAAGTTACTGGTAAGTAATTCAAGGTAGGTGTGGTGTAGGAAGCCCGAGTAACTTGTCATTTTAGTCTGACCTCAGAATTGCAATAAATACAAGCAACAGATGGGCAGTGTCAAAAAAGTAGTTCAACAACCCCTGCAGAAGAATGATAAATAAATGTTACCAGATATAAATACAAAAAACGAGAAATCAAAAAAAAGGCAATACTCCTATATGTGTTCATAGACAGAAAACACAATTTAACCCATAGAACACATGCACTATATCCCCGATATACCACAGTGCACATAATAACACAGTTTCAGCAGCAAAAAACAATCATGCTTGAGGTGATTGGTCGAGGGTAGTTGTTTTCATGCTGCATTATAAAGGAGTTTTCATCCACAACCTTATTCCTCATCTGTAAATGACGTGAAGCCGTTTGCAAGAATCAGTTTCCCTGAGCTCAGGTCCACAAATGACACTAAACCCTTCACTGCAGTAAGCATGCGCCCTTCCTTCACTGCAGTCGGCTTGCTTATCTACGACTTATCAAGGCACCAAGGTATTAGCCACTTTACAATGGTGGACTTCAGTTTTCATTCTTCCCTCTACTTTTCTCTCTCTCTCTCTCTCGGCAGAGCTGGGAAACTGATCAGCAGACCAGACATCAGCCAGGAAGAACGGGTCACCATATAGCGAAGACAAGTAAAGGAGGACACCAGAGACAGCAGTCAGGAGGAGCAGACCACACCATACTTAATACTGTCTTCATTAATCTGACACAGCACCAGAGGGAGTCAAATTCCTCCAGCCCAAAAAACAGGGTAACAGATTATATGTAGCATTTGTATGTTTTATCATGTCGGTGTTGGAGGTAGCCCCCCTTCCCCCCACTTCTGGACAGCATGACTAAGGATTGGTCTCTTTCAGGTGCCCGGTTTAAGCTAATTTTCAAAGTGGAATTTTAAAGTGCTTTAACGGCTAAAATCACTGATGTAATGTGGGCATTTGGTTTTAATGCTCGACATATCTCACATCTTTATAATTCTGAGCGGTAAAAAAAAATCGTAGGTAGATGTATGCCGACTGTTTGTGGATCAAGAGCTAAGTTCTCACTATGAATGGTAAAAATTTTGCAACTGTATTGCAACGGGATGATACGGGATTGGTTTTGCTTGGACAGTGGAGACATGGTTATCAGGGAAAATGAACGGAACAGATCTTTGTCTCTCTACTGGACAGGTAAAAGGAGGTTCTTGTGCTTGCAATGGGTTTTGTAGGGTCTGTGCATGTCCTGTATCACTACATACATACAATTACCTGAAAGTGTCCATTTATTATAACTACTAAGTGACACTTATAAAGGACTACACTACAAATATACAATTTATAGTGGATTATACCAGATAAACACAGCCCCACTGTTATTAACCTTGAGGCTTTTCTTGACGTCAAAATTAAAACAGGGGACCTTCTGAAATGCTGTACTGGTGACAGCCTCAGGAGTCTCCTCGTAACACAGGGGCAACTGTAGACTGTGAAATCTCAGCCAATTATAATAATCTCTCCAAATTTTAGGGCAGAGGCGGAAAATCAATGGTAAAGAATAATACTGTGGTGAAATTAGACGTTCTACCGTCTCAGCCTGGTTACATCACTTTCAGTGTTTGACAGGGTCCTCACTCCAGGCTGAGCACTAAAGCAAACTAGTGTTTGCTCAGTGGCCATTCTAGTTTAGCTAGGTAATCCCCCTGACTTGAGGCTCACTGGATATTCTTGCAAGCCACTCCTCATCACAATTTGGTTTGATTTGTGCTAATCAGAGCGGAGACTGGAGTTGGTTAGCATGGTTGTACACAGATACAGCACACAGCAAGCACACCAACGCAGTGGTCAGTGTCCCTCCGTGACTTGGATGATATCTGCGGCCAAATGCAGAGCCCGGTTTGAGGAGCCGTTTTACAGAGCATTGATTGTGCAAAGATAGCCCCAAGATTCAGGATTAAAGCGAAGGTGTGGGAGAAGTGATATCTGGTCATTACTATCATGGGGGAAGAATGGCTTTCTGCAGGATTAAAATTTGGCTTCATTAGTCATCAAATCAAAAAAGAAAGGGAAAAAACATGTTTTTTCTAACCCTTTTTAGCATGGAGTAGTTTTAGTGAGAGCGTTAATCTTATAAAACATCAGATACTTTGTGGCGATTGGTCCCCTGTATTTCTGGAAAAACAAACATAACCAATCAAATCACATTCTGACCCCCCCCGTCCCCCCCCCCCCACCCCAAAAGATAGCGATTAACACATAATTCATTTACGCTTAGAGCAAACCTGAAAACATAGCTGAAGACTTTACAGCGACAATATCCCCATTTGTTGTTCTGTACAATGCAGTCAAACCAAGTGTGACTGAAAGCAATCCTTGTGGAAACTTCACAATGGAAGGTGTGGTTTGGCTTTACGATGGTAAGACTGCAATCCTGGATTGGAAACTTGCAGTGCCAATGTGGCCCCGTTTTAAGTCCCAATAAACCTGTACAGGCCAATAAAATGGGATACTCTCACATTAATCACCTTTATTCTCCCAAAACTAAACTCTGCAGAAAGCTAAACACAAACATCTTAAATCATCACTTAGCAAACATGTAGGCAAACACCTCTCCTCTTTTTAAAGAAAATGATGGATCAGCAGGAAAACTACGGCCAATCTTGTTCTGTTTAATACAGACACACCTCCATTATTAGCTGCTTCCGAGCACCATTTCATCCACACACGAAAAGCAAATTTTGTTTATATAAAAAAATCCTTCTCAAAACCCTTGAATGTTACCACTTCAACAAGGGACTGAAGTAGAAAGAAAATTAAGTTAGAGAGGACAGGGAGAAAACTGTCAAAAGAAAACACTGAGGCTCCTATCTAAGGAGGCAAGAATTGGGATGGGGATTTTTCCTGAACAAGTGGACACACATTTGTGCCAGAGTCTCAGAGCAATTCTAAAATGTCAGATTGAGATCAATACTTCTCATAAAACTGCAATCAAATCAATGCGAGGGCAGGAAAGCAATTGACTGCTTTTATTTAAAAAGAAAAGAAAGCTACACTTTAGGTGGAGTGCTCTGAAAATTCAGTGAAAACAGCAAACCCCCCCACCCCCACAACTGTTGTCAGAATCAAATGTATAAACGGCTTATCCCAACAATCAATTCACTGTCATTTGCAATGTGTCAAAGCTTGCATTACGTGGGTTGGCGTGTGTGCGCATCCGCTATAGTTGTAGAGAAGCTGTGGCAGTTAGAGGGGCTTTGATGGTCTTGGCTCTCAAGGGAAAAGGCTTGAAGGAGGCCGGAGGCAGGAGGAGGGAATTCGTTTGATTAGTTTGGATCCAAAGGGTATCTTCCTTCCCTCCAAACTACCCCACCTTACATGGAAAAGTAGCTGCAGCAATGCAATTATTCATTAGTGAACAGTTTCAAAGACTTGAACAGCTGGCTAACGACTATTCCATCTTCAAAAAATACCCAAATCATTTTGAAAATTGTTTTTCGCTGCAGATGAAACAAGAAAGGAAATAGTGCCTGGAATCCAACTAAAAGTGGTCTGGAAAACAAGACTTTCTACATTACCGCAAAAATTGATTAGCAGAATACAGGTTTTGAGGAGAGATGAGAAGAAAGCACTACCGTAAACATCCTTGTGAAACATAACTCCGTTCCCCACCCTCATGAACATTTTATTTCAAATTAATCTGAAGGTCTTTTAAATGAATTCCCTTGCAGAGCATTAAAAGCCATTTCCAGACCAGAAATATCTCCCAAATCCAGAAGAGCTCAGACTGCAGCAGTGCCTAGTATCAACCAAACTAATGGTCCTCAATATTATTACTGCAAACTGACAACTAGTTGAAATCCAGAGTCAGATAAATGGTCAGTAAAGTGGACCTGAGCAAAAAGCTCTATAAACGGCTATAATTCCTAGGTTTAGAGACAGTTAAACATTCAATGAGTTGACCAATAAAAGACTATAAATACCCGAGTCAGTAAAAAGTCAATAAAGAGCATGGATAGAGTGTATAAATGTCTGCCGGCCAGGACTGCAAAAGAAAATGGTTTGAGAATTGATTGCTGCCGCCCATTTATAGCATTGGTAAAATTGACTGCAAAAGCTAGAATCTGGCAAATAACTGGACTGGAAATAGTTTTAAACGCACAACAGCAACAAATGTCAGCAGAAAATGTCTCTAATCTTACTGTAGCATCTACCAGAGTGATTGTAAAATGTGCTTACCTTTGAGCCTCGCTCATTAAATATTATTTCTACGTCTATGATTTTACCGAATTGCTATGAAGAGAAAAGAAATGAAAGCAGGTCAGTGTATAAGACAATCGCAAACTCAACTCAAGCACTCAAAGTACTCAGTTATTTAACTATTCTGTGGTGTCTGATAAATCTAAGACCTGAAACAACTCCAATACATACCTTTGAGGCCCAAACAGATAGAGGACATCATAGATGTGAACTCATTCACCTCGCAGTAACAGCAGCAAAGGGTTTGAACACAAGCACAACATTCACATTGAGATTTTCATCTCCTTTGAGCTTGATGCAAGACGTCAGACAGCGGTGAACACACCGCACTACTTGGACACTCAGGGACACTGACTACCAACTGGGATCATCACACTTAATAATTCCACAGCAAATAACCTGAATTAAAAGATACAGCCATTGAACTCAGGTTACTTTATCAAGCTTGTCGTTTTAACTGTTCAGCTTCTTCCCACTACCGCACAATAAAACTGAGAACTCCGGAAAGATGTGTTTAAAAAATGCAAAAACCTATGTTGAGATTAATAACGTATTACAATCAGTTTAGTTGAAGAGATCAGGGATGGCCAGGCGCTGTCTCACAGCGATGGTCAGACACTGTCTCAAGGTTCCTGTTGCAATGTTTGGTTTCACAAGAAGGTTAGCCGCCATCGACACGTGACAGACACAAACTTTGTCACCTGTCATTACGGTGGGTTTGTTGCCAAGTCAAATATAATGGCTGTGAACTTACCATTTCTACTAAGAAAAAGCGAATGTGCTAAATGGTGTGGGTTACTTCCCACTTCATTCACACCCAGAAAGCAGTAAAGATGAGATTCTGGAGAAAGCTCCAGAACGCTCCGATGCTTTCTCTGAACCAATGGTTCAGGAAAGTGTTGTGTTCATTCAGCGGAGGGATGTCAGCATAGAACAGACCTGTTTTCAGTTCTCCCCAGTGTCAGGATATGATCCCACGTCAGAAAGAACATGGCATGAAAGGGCAGCATTTTTCCTTCCCCGCATCTCTCCTGAATGTCCAAACCATACAGAGAAACCTTTTGAACTATGGGGTCATCTTCCACAGTATCTCACCATTCTCCACACAACCATCGGCCAGCTACAGGAACATTTTAGCTGTGTCTAATCCTGACTTAACCCAATGTGCACCTTCAAGCAGTTTTACTGTATGGTGGTCAGGAGGAGCCCGAGTGATCTTAGCCATCTCTAGCCAGTCAGATGTGGTCCCTACCATTGCTCTGGACAAGAAGATCTTCCTAGTCTGAATGGCTCAATTCCACAACAGGCAATACCTTTACCAACTAAGTCATGGAGTGATCAATGACAATGTGCCACTCTGTCCCTCCATATTATTCGTTCGGAATGGAGATGGCTATCACAATTAGCTCAAAGCCCAAGGTAACACAGTGAGAATCCCCAAACAATATGCGGAGCTATATTGGGTTGCCTTACCCCAAACATTTGTCGAAGATCAGGGTCACGGAAGCGGAAGGGGATGTTGGAGACGTGGAGACGTTTAGGGATGGGTTTACTTTCACTGTTCTCGGTGCTCTGCGTTTGCTGCTGAACATCCGTCTGTGCTGCTTCATCTGTCTGCTGAGAGAGCGGAAAATGAATCAAACCAGGACAATGACATGTAAAGTTAGTGCATCAACAGCAGCTTAAAAACTTCACAAACCAAACAAGCCTCGAAAAGCTTCTGGACCGTCAGCACGTCTTTTTCAAGTCGAAACCTGGAGTTTTAAAAGTGTAGTTACAAAAACAACAAACAACAACAACTTGCATTGATACAGCGCCCCTCACACAGGGCAAGGGTCCCAGAGCACTCCACTGTAGCGACACACGATACCAAGCCCAGGAAAGCAGGCAGGTGTGGAGTAGAACTCTTGCAGTCAACAAATTACAGGTTAAAGTGAATTTCTGTCCACGTTCTGGGTTGCAAAAAGTTCATTTTAATTCCCCCGTCCATTGGAATTATAACTAAACAGCTGAAAAGTGTACAGTTTGTCCAAACCGTGGTGAAGCCCCGTGGTGAAGTGAAAGACTAACACGCCTCCCTGTGCTCAGCTGCTTTCTCGTGTCACATTCACTCGTGTCATGGGGCTTCTACGAAACGCAATGCAATTCGCAGTCACATCACAGAGTAGTCATGACCCTTCTACACAGGCAGGGTGCAAACGCAGCTCGCACTACAAGGCAGCAGCTGAACTAAGACAAAGGAGGAATTTACTTCAATTAGTATTGCTTCTCTCCCAGCACATAGCACTTGTGGCAGAGTGGGCAGCGATGGTTATCTTCTGGAACTGTACAGCTATTGTGCTTTTGTAGGGCACGCAATCAGATCAGAACTCAAACCATGTGACCGACCAGGTTCAGCAGCTGCCCCACTCCGGCTCCTCCTGCTTTGTTCTTTTGTCTGCTTCTCTCCTGAAGGCACCGATGTACGTTGGGATACACTGCACAGGCGCTCTCCACCCTCAGGGAACCTCACCAAAGTGGCCATTCTCCATGTGAACAGTGGCACGTACAGGAACAGGAGGAGGCCATTCAGCCACCAGCCCGTTTTGCCATTCTACCAGATCACTGCTGATCTGTACCTCGACTCCAAATTCCACACTGTGCAACGAGCTGAGACTAAAGAATGAAAGGGATCCAGGTCCCAAATGATAGCTTTTCAAACGGTTCCTTTGTGGCCCCAAAGTTTGCAGCTGTTTGCAGATGTCAGCAGCGGGGCTGGGGGAGGGGAGGGGAGATGGAACAGGTTGGACGGGTTTGGCGGCTGTGTGTGGCATCAGGTGTCGGCAGTGGGGACCTTCCAGGCCTCGCTGGGCCCTGTTAAGACAAACATCCTTTTCAAACAGGCAGAGCAGCTGCTCCAACAATCCAGTCGGCCTGGTTGAAATATGTCGCTGAGGAGAAAAGTTAACAACTCCTTGCGTAACAACAACAGTGATGTGAAGAGCAGTAATGAGGACATTGCAACCCTGGAGTTGTCTTTTCACCTATCCAAAAGGATCCAGGTCCTGAATGATAGCCAGGTCCTAAATGATCCAATAGGATAGGTGAAATTCTACTGTGCATTGGTAATAATACTCCTTGCATTTGATTCAGTGCCTTATCAGATCTTCGAGACGTCTCAAAGCTCTGCACAGAATATTCTGTAAAACAAATTGACTGTATTGTGTGGATGAAACTCAGCAGCCAATTGCGCACAGCAGTGTCCCACAAACAGCCGTGGATTGAGTGACCAAATCACTATTTTTTTGAAGGGATTATTACACCCAAGAAAGCGATCCACCAATCGGGTTTCAACTCACTCCTAAGTAAACAGAGGCGTGTACAGTAAGGAAACTTGCCCAATGTTTCACTCTGCCTGGGATTTGAACCCAGGTCCTCTTGTTTGCTAGGTGAATGCTCTAACTGCTAAGCTACAGGACACCACTGTAATGTACATTGGTAGAGAGACAAGGACAGGATAAGTCTCAGTCTGGCTCCCACCCCAACTGAATAGTCTGCCAGTGTTCAACGCACATCAACACCTCAGGAGGGGAGATGCGGGGAGAGAATTTATCATGGTTCTTCTAAGACTGCACTATGATGTTGTTGTGTAAAACAATGGAGGCTGAATAGGATTGTGATGTGGTGGTGCAGGAATGAAGGCTGACTTACTGTGGCAGTTCCAGATACAGGCTGCACGCTGGCGTTTGTACCACTCGGCTCCCCGTGGGTCTGACCGGCGGCGTAGATATTCAGGGTGTGGTCTGGGACTGGAGTCTGGCCTGTGTAGTCCTGAGTGTGTGGAACAGTGTACTCTGTTGGAATTCCATTCTGTGGAGGAGGAGGAGGGGGAGGGAATGGAACTGTAGCGTACGGCTGTACCATAGTGTCTGGGGTGGCTGCTGGCTCCTGGCTACCCTGAAAAAAGATGAATGAAAAAGGACACTTGAGCAATGTTTCTCATTACATGCTTGGACAGGGTTTAAATGTGTAGAATTCACTGACCTGACTGGCACCATCATACATCATTAACAAAACTGCCCCTTCACCTATAACTGCAGAATTCCTGGTCATTCCATAAAGTTACCAGGAATTTAGGAAGTGCCCTCCTGCTTCAGCTATCTGAGTGTGAGGTGTTGTCAATGGTTTGGATATAATACTATAATAATCCTTGCATTTGATATAGCACCTTATCAGGTCTTCGAGACATCTCTAAACGCCTTCATTGAATATACTGTAAAGTGAATTGACTGTACAGTACGTGGGCAAAACGTTCTATGAGAGTTAGATCTAGATAAAGGTGTACGTCTAGAAATTCTAACCTTTCACTTAAGTTTAATATATAATCAACCGAGAAGGTTATTGTTCATGAAGCCAGTTTCCAACAAATAATCACAAAAGCAAATATATTCTGCTGTGGAGACCCTATACTTCATTCAGTATGTCACGATAAGACTCCACTCTTATCTTCTGGACTGGCATTCTTTTAATCACATACAGAACAGTTTGTGTGCTACAAGTCTGAGACACAATTGGGGTGGGGGGAGCATTTCCACGACTTACTCACAGTCTAGACTAACACTGCACAGTTGCACTGGGGAATACTGCAGTATTGGAGTTGCCACCCTTTTGGATAAGATGCTAAACTGAGGTTGAGTCTGCCTGCCTTCAGGTGGATGTTAATGATCCCAAAACACAATTGAAAAAGAGAAGGGAATTTCTCTCAGTGCCTTGGTCAACAATCCTTTAGATTGTGGGAACTTGAGGTGTGGAAAATGGATGCTGGGTTGACCGACAAAATAAGACCATCAGTAACTTGAGAATTATGGCAGAAGTGCTTTGAGGTGTTTTGACACGTAAAAAACACACAAGTTCTTTCTTTGAGAGTCATTTAATAATAATCCTTGCATTTAATATAGCATCTTATCCTTGTCGCTGAGATGACTCAAAGCACTTCACAGAATATACTGTAAAGTGAATTGACTGAATATTTTGTGGGCGAAACACCCACATTTGAACATCAGGCAGCGCTGCCAACTCAACAAAGTCATTTTACGCAATATCGACCAGGACTCTACTGTGGATGAATGTTTGTGGTGCTGTAAGTCAGCTTATTGTTCATCATGAACATCTTTGAAAGGCAATAGCAGCTGTAGTTGCTCTGACACACAGAGAGCACAAGAGCTTCTTGAGCTCTAAAACCTGCAGTATGTCACACCACGTGATGAAAGAAGGACCTCTCAAGCATTCCACAACCCCTGGAGGCAATTTTTATTTTGTTCTCCACTCCCCACTGCTGCTTAATATTCCCATCTTCCCCATCACCCTGTGCTGGCTGTCTGATAAACGGCCGATACCAAGTGCAGAGCGCGCTGCCAGCTAATCAGAACACCAGTTCATTTTTAAACAAAATGACATCTGTGTGCAGACCGTCAAGTGCCAACTCAACTGTTTCTTTCCAATTTAGCACAGAACAGGGTCCGAAAAGGCAAACCATTTTAAACCTAGTATCCTCCCCAAACTGGATTGACATGTTGTTGAGATTAGGGGAAGGGCTCGAAATCACAGTCAAAGGCAGAGCGTGACTTGGCTACGGGCTTACAGTTTGGATTCCTGCTGCTTGCGTATGCAAACAGAACTGGGGCTGACTCTGTGGGGAATTGTTTCCTTCTTGCTTTCCATTTTGTAAGATATTTAACAGTTGTTCTATTATGGTTAGGCCACACCTTGACTACTGTATACTGACTACTGGTCACTATGGCAAACAGGGCTACCCAGGTGCTGGAGACAAGTGCAGACACACACACACACACGCAATATATCTGGCAGCGTGGATTTTGTTGACTGCACGTGACCTGCATTGCTTAGCTTACCCAGTGCTGCCACAGTCAAGGTTATAAGTTATCATAGCATTAACACTGGCCATATACAATACTGTTCACTCTTTTTTCCTGGGAAAGATGCCTAGACGTTGCTCTTGCCAACTTGCACCTAACACTCTCCGGAATTAGGTAAGTAGTGTGTGTCCCTCCATCCAGGGAGAGAGAGTGCATTCCATTCCAAATACAAGAAAGTTTCCACGTATAGATGGCTTACATATGTGGAACTCTGCCTGGTTAGGATAATTTGAAGCGTAGTGATAGTTTCCACACGCATCAGATATACGGCTAACCTCAGGCCCCTCCAAAACAAAAAGAGACAAGAAATAGTATAGAGCTTCCGATTTAAAGTTATAGGAGAATGCGGTAAATTATGCACCCCTTAGAGCAGTTACCCCAACACACACTATAGGTCCGCAAGCCTTTGCTCTTGCCAACCTGCTCCTAATACTTTCCAGAATTAGGTGAGCAAGATGTATCCCTCCAGGCAGAGTGTGTGCAATGAATTTCCATGTGTAGTTGGGCACGCAGGGAATTCTCAGCTTGGTTTGGATACTCTTCAGCATAGTGATGGGTTTCCGCATGGGTCAAGACACCCAGCTGACTCCCCCCCCCCCAAACAAAATGCACCCTTTTTAAACACATATACTAACTCGACGTCTCCCTCCTTCTTTCTGGGACTAACCTGCATCTTTACACCCAACAAATAACTGAGCTCTGGGTCAAAATAAACATGGCTCCAGTTTGAATGGTGGCGGTTTGCCTTTTTTTAAAAAAACACTTACAATATCAGGCAACAGTTAAAAAAAGAGAGGACATCTCTAAAGATGTTCTCTGCATCTACACGTCATAACCATGGCTCAGCGTTTTTGTCTGAGAAACAATGCCAGCTTTCGTTCTGGTTACTTTGTGATGAAGCATTCTACAGTGCTTATTCCCATACAAGGAGTTCACTGTATGAATCTACTCTAGTGGCTGCCACTTAAGAGACTTGCATTCCAATTGTTCAAAGAGAAATAGGACAATGAACAGCGGGAGGCAACCGAGTAACCAGTCTGACGCTCTATTTAACTTGAGCATCACCATCACCCTAAACAAGGCACTAATTATCTATCTGTCCACAGGGAGAGGGAGATACAGACCAGACACAAAAGGGCCAATGTGCCTCCATTGCAATCACTTCCTCTCAACAAAAGAGATGGGTGAGCAGGAAAATACATGCGATTAGAAGCTTTGCCTGCCCTCAGCAAATTCTATCATTTCAAACACCGATCCACTTAAGTGAATACTCAAGAAATAATTACCAGTATCTCTACGTCAGTCGTGAACCCAAACATGTTGGAATATGTTGGAATATATCTCTGGAAAGCAGTGCCAGCTGAATTCAGCTGAAGAGAAGACCCAATAAGGAAATTTGCTGTGATGCAGATTTACGACTCATCTGTTTTCTCACATGACTACATCGGTTATTCTCTAAAAGGAATACATTTTGCGTTAGCCAATTTGCACTGAGGTCCAGGTTCAGTGCTGGATGCTACAACAACAACAACTTGCATTCATATAGCACCTCTCATGTAGTGTAGTGTCCCAGAGCACTTGACAGAAGCCCCATTCCTCATGGATCTTCAAACTTTTCTCTGCTATTCTATAACAATTTTGGTTTCTGTTGGATCCTTGTACCAAAGTTTGGTTTGAAAATAGATTGAATGCTACGAATACAGGAGCTTGATTTCGCTGTGACCGCTCATATAGGTGGTACAACCGGAAGTCCCTTACGCCCTTTCCCAGATCTCCGGGCACTGGTATCAAGATGATGATTGGGGCTGAGACTTATTCAATGTAGCCTACTTCTAACGCTGGATTTGAAATCCATAACATCTTTGAACAGCCCAATACCAGGGTGCAATCATCAGCTAGCACTTGTACATTCACAGTGCAAGGACGAAGCAAAAAACAAAACTGATGTCTGGGTAAATTGGTCTCGTCATTTTTTCCACGCTACAGTGCTTTGAAGGTAAATGTTGGGATTCATGGCCCAACAACGCAATAAACAAATCCGAATCCTAATGATGCACTTCATATGGAGGTTCTAATCTATTCAAGCCTCCCGAATGAGATCAACTCTGCTGCAGGGAGAGCTGGAGAAATTGGGGTCACAGTAAGACATCTGGGTGTCACTGATTCTTCAGTGCGGCAAGAAAAACACAAGAGTTCAGCAGAGAGAGAAAATTAATGAGCTGCAGAGGTTCAACAGCAACAGTAAAGAAATTCACATCATTTGCCAAAAACCATCACTAATGAAAAACATATTTCAACATGAGTCACACACAACTTTCCACTGACTCAAGAGACTTATTTCCAAGATGTCTATAGCTCTCATTACTGACATGCTCAAAAGTAGCTTTTTGTACCAACCCTCACCGTATCTGTTCCCTCAATTCTCAATTACACGAGTAGAAAAAATTAAATAGAAACAACCTATACTTTTATAGCACTTTATACATTAAAAATGGTACTTTATACTTATCTCATGTTTTACATAATTCTTATTATTGATATGCATAGTGACTGTTTTTGTAGGAAAGGACGGCAGACATTTGGAATGGTTTGTGTGGCTATTAGACATCTTGGAAGGTTCACACAGGATATCAGCTGGTACTTGGCCATAGAGGCCAACTGCCCTTTTCTGTCTACACACATGTATTGGATTATGACCTAGATCAGAACCTCGAATCCTGCTCTTAATATTTTTATTCATGCCAAACTTTGCACAAATTTTAAAAGAAAATAAAACCATCGCACATTTAAATATCACTGTTGCGCTTTACAATACATACTTACCCATCAACCAGGACTGGAGTTAAAGTATTCAGCTATTTAATAATATTATAATCCTCACGATGGATCATTTAATGAATTCAATACAAAGCCGTCAATTTCTCCAGTTATGGGGGAAAAAAGACAAGATAATGGCAGCCACATTGAATAACTCACTCGGGAGTAACCCAATCTAAAGAACTGAACAGGTACGACCACATA